TCTGAAATTAAATTGACGCTTTCTGAAATACATCTGGAAAAGGTGTAGTATAAGGACCTGTCTCATGTTATGTAAATAATCAAAAGAGATCAATAAAAGTATCTATCTATCTATCTATCTGTCACATGACCCCTGCTTGTATTTGAAAAAATCGTCCATTACGTCATTACTTCTACACCAGTGACGTAACATCTCTCATATGAATGTCATGAGATGAGGCTTCAAAAATTAAAACTCACGTGTTTTTGGAATTTCTTCAAATGTCGCCCATTTCTGAAATAATGAATTTATTCCATACATTTGCATCATACTGTGAATATTTTTTTGCACAGAAATGATATCTTTGAAAATCACTTTTCAAATGATGCATCATTGAAGTCGAGCACATTACCGCCTTAATGAAACATAAGGCATTTCTTAATTTTTTTAAATATGCTTTACATTAACAACAATAAAAACAATGCTGTGTATTACCCACTTCAAAAAAATGTGATCGTCTAATCAACAATTTATTATTTCATTTGAAAATACTTGCGGCCACATTTCGGTAGGTAAACCCTGGAATAATCTGGTGAAAATATATTCAGCTATTCATGAATATATGTTAAAATTTGATTTTCATTGAATACTCGATGAACGTAGTAATCTTGCAGGCGGATCTCGGACCATAATGAAAATTCTCTTGATAAGTTATAAGTTGCATATGAATTCATCAATTTATTTACAACCAATAGTTTCAGTTTGTTTTGCGAAAATTGCATGTTTCCTAATATATGGAAGACTGGAACCATTGGCATGATAATACACTACACTGTTTTACCACTAACCAAACCGATTTTTGAAATTTTCCGTTTTAATCTTCTCCTGAAGATGCTAACATAGTTAGCGAAACACGTGTCGAGGCATATGTTGCTGTAAGTGTTTTGAGAAAAAAATCGAAACTGAGTTTTTTGTTGCCTTTTCTATAATTTGTCAAGGTAAAAAAAATTATTATTCAAAATTTTTTGGGATTTTCTCTCCTCGTTACTATAAAATAAAAATATGAATATTATTTCCAATATACCTGTAGTAAGGACAAATCAGATGATTTGCCCCAAAATATCACTGTGTTTAAAGAATTTTCCTATCAGAGAGCCTAAAAGAAAAATTCACTAGCTTGTCAGTGACAATTTGTATTCAAAAAAGTTTGGAGAAGAGAAAAAAAGTTATATAGAAAAAATATCAAATTTTCACATATCATTGGACGTTTCAGAACCGATTCTGCTCCCGTTTTCAACATGAGAAGAAATTATTTCAATGGCGAAGTCCTATAATATGTCTTGAAGCTTTTCAGTTTTCAATGACAATTGGTGACGTTGGCAATCAAATGAGTTACAGGATGTTTTCATTAATTGATCTTGAAGTTACCATTTTCATGTTCAGATTTCAGTAGTGAATTACCTTCGCAATGATGAACAGGTACAGTTTGGTGTAACGGAATTAAGCGATCTTGGTCTCATTATGAAGGGTTTTTTCAGATCTTCCCACAAGTCGATTCAAATCCCGTGGTGGCCGCTAGATGGCATCGTTTGAAGAATCAGTCGATTTGCCATTTTTTTTCGAGAATTTCAAATGGAACCATATATTTTTCCTGCTATGATATGAAAGTAAGGTGAACGAGAAGAAAAATGGTGAAAACCGCGAGTTGATACCTGTTGAAGAACCGGAGAAATACTCGAAATAATATTAAAATTTAAACTGTTAGCATGTCAAATGCCTCCTCATTCGTTATCGGCATTTTGACAAAAAATAAGCAATCCACAGTGAAAACTTTCAATGGAACTTCTATTATATTTTGACGTTTCTTTCATTCAAAGCCAACTTGCCTTTTCTCATTCCTGAGCCTATACTCACTACTTACATTTCAATTAGCTATTTCATTACTAAGAGTCTCCTTCACTATTGTGAGATATAACAGTAGTTTGTGAAACCAAAATAAATGAATTATTGAAATCATAATTTCATAGATACATGATATTTCTGATTACGATTATTGAAGATAGATTCCTGTGGTGAATATTTTCATAAGATTATTTCCAGTATTTCACTGGTTTCTCAAGAGGCATCAATTGGCGGTTTTCACCATTTCTTCTCGTTTGCTCTACTTTCATATTAGAGTAGAATGAATACATGGTTCCATTTGAAATTTTCTAAAAAAATGGAAAATTGTCTGATTTTTCAAATGATGCCATCTAGCGGCCACCACAGGATTTAAATCGACTTGATTCGTGATTCATCTGGAAGAACCAAAAAACCCTTTATAATGAGACCAAGATCGTTGAATTCCGTTACACCAAACTGTAGTAATGGGAGTATTTTCAAAGTACTATTTATCCTTCCCTCCCTCTTTCATTTAAAGAGCTAGTGCAATTTTTTTTTATCAAAATGATTGGAAATCAACTCGAGAACATGAAGAAAGTGTTTTTGATATGTCTTGATATATCAAATTTTCATAAAATCCTGTTTATTAAACTGGCCAATGCCATTACACCCTCTAGGGGTTGTCCTGGAAACTTGAAAATAATTTCCAGAGATTTCTCTTGGCCACTTTTATCATTCATATTTTTTTTCGAAACCTGTGCGGCAAATAGTTTCCGAGATACAGCCGGCGTCCTTTCTTAGTGGTACACCCGGTACAGTGATTTAGAAAGTTACATATACCTACATATTATACAAATATTTGAAAATTTCCGAAGCAATACATGAGGATTGTATTCAATGCACTTAAGAGGATTGCATTATAATTATTGTTTAAATTTTTTGGATGTATGACAAATTGATATTAATTATACAGGACATGGAGAGATTCTGAATTGGGAGAACCTAATCAGAAATCTGCTCTTGAAGGTCTATAAAAATAACAAGTTTCCATTGTTCAAGTTGCAAAACTTCATAGTAAATCGTGTTTTCTCGGCTTGGAACAACCTGGATACAGACATAGTTAATGCACCCTCAGTATCATCATTCAAAAGTCGATTAGATCGTATTACTGAGTAAATTGTTTTTGTTTTTTTCAGTTTGCATCGCATTATATCTGTCTATTTTATTTCGAAATGTTCAATTTCTATTCAACATTTTTAATTGTTTTTTCAATTTTAGAAGAAGAAGAAGAAAATAAACTTTATTGGACATAAAATAAAAAAATACATTATGCCAAATGGCTAACGACCAAAGTCTTCCTGCCAGTATATACTAAATCATTTTATGTATTTCAAATGCATTATTTAAACAGTGATTTTTACAAGGTGAATTATGAAAAAAAAAAAAAAAAAAAAAAAACACATTATTATTCTATCTGTTGGTAATTTGTCTGGAGAGTGAATCATATAGGCTGAATTCAGGAAATTTGCGTTTGATGGGAGTAAGGGGATTGGTTTGGTGAATGAGGGGCTCTATAAGGGTGATGTTTTCTTGTTTGTTCGCAAATTTTTTGGTGAGTCTGGTAATTCGGGTGAGGATAGGTTCTATTTTAGTTTTTTGATATAGGAGAATGTTGGAAGGGTTGTGAAGAGGATTTGCAGGGTGCCTTATTTTGGTAATAGTTCTTAGACACCTCAGCCCATTATCACTTTTTAATAATAATAATAATAAAGTTTGAACCCTTCAATTGGGTGAAAGTACTGGAAAGGAATATTGTTTTAATGATATATGTTGAAGTTGGGGTGAGTATAATGTGTAAAAGGAATCCTTCAATTGAATAGAAACAATATGATAGTAAATTATATGTTACCCATTTCCTGTATCAGATAGAATTCAAAGATTTTATAGTTGGTGGTAAAACATTAAAAATTTTGGATATTTGATGAATTTCGCTCAATGACAGACAATCTGAATTTGGGAGTTCTTGGGTATATTCAACAATCTTGTAGCATGAATGCTAATTCTTAGATTGTGTCAGAAATCTTGAAAAATAATTAAATAGTACATTATACCTCAAGGGACAGAAATGCAAGATTTTTCAAAGGTGCGATTTGTAAGCCCCAGAGATACAAAACACCGAGGGAAAAATAGCCTTCTGTCCTGTGTAAATACTACTTTTTCTGCAAACGTCAAAAAATGACATGGTTCGCGCATTGATAGCAAATTGTGAAGTGACATTTTTTTTCAGTTTCCTACGTTACCATGATACCTTGCACAAAACAATGAGCGAAGTAAAACAGTGCCAGAAGTACCCACCTTGTGCATTGTTATGTAAAATATATGAGATATTTATATTTCAACTTTATGGTCCTCAGTCAAACATCCACGAAATCATTTATTTCGGAATGTTCAACAATAACTTTGTTTTATCTCTTGGAGCGCACGAAAGGAAATTCCTATTATGTTTGTGGAACATCGTGCATACCTAAGGAGGATATAAGGAGGCCTTTTAAGCCAGTTCCAACACTATTTTTTTTTCTCCAGCTAAGCATATATTTACTTTAGAACTATATTTTTTTGCAATTCTAGAAAAAATGTTGTTTGCAACTCTAGTGCGAAATACTTGCTAGCTAGCTATGCGGAAAATGTAAGTCTCCTTAGGGAGAAAATATGTCACATTATATCCCTAGGAAATAATACAGATTTCTGCCCCTCTTTTGTTACCAGAGAAACTAACTTCTACTCCTGCTGGAGTAAAAAATCAATGATATTATAATTTCACTGATGAAAATATAAAACTTAGGGTTGAACACTGAAATTAATTTATGATGATGTTCACTTCTCCTAGTCATTTTTCTGACATTTAGTTTTTGAAATATATTGTAAAATGTGAATACTATAGAGATGCTCTAGTTCTAGCTATCAAATTGTTTTGGCACAAAAATATGATTTGTTCATGACCAATTTACCTGTCTACAGGTCTGAGAACACCCTGTAAATAATATGATTTGTAAAATGGTGAAATGTGACCAGTAAATTTACAGTATTTGATATCAAGTTTCAATAAATGGAACATTAGGATGCTTCACTGAAAGATTTACCTTTCCTGATTTCAACAGGGTTAGCTCCTTTGCCAAGGTTATCAAAACCTTCTTTAGCTATTGAACGAGCTAGAACTGTAGCTGTAGTAGTTCCATCTCCTGCTTCTTCATTTGTATTGTTAGCTACATCTTGTACCAATCTAGCACCAATATTCTGGAACTTATCTTTGAGTTCAACTCCTTTAGCTACTGTTACACCATCTTTGGTAATTTTTGGTGAGCCCCATGATTGTTCAATGATGACATTACGTCCCTATGAATTATATAATGAATTGAAAAGAAGTTAATATTTCATATCAGGAAGGACTAACCTTTGGACCCATAGTTACAGCCACAGCATCAGCAAGGATATCAACCCCTTGAAGCATGAGAGCTCTAACTTCGGATCCAAACCTGACATCTTTGGCATACCAACGCTGAATTTCATTGATTTGTTGAGTTTTGCGAAGGGCTACAGAGCGAACAGCATTTGGTAGGCGGTACATCTGAAATAATTGAATTATTGGTATCGGTATGTAATCCCAAAATGTTCAGCACACTTCTAAAAATCTAATTCTTTTGGATCTTGTTTCTCATTAATTTGACACACGATATTTTTATCTCCCCTGATAACTAGATTTGTTCAATGGTGTCAGGTGTTAAGAAAAATGTCACCTGCAACATTCTTTTTGCCAACTCAAAATTAGTAATAGGTCTACCTATAGTAGACAATACAGAAATTTAATTAGAATTCGAATCAAAATGAATGTCTTATCCAACGGGCGAAAAGGTTATCGTGAACAGAGAAGAATCAAAATGTATGAAAAGCACATGGCAGTCTTGTGTGGCAATCATTTACAGCAATGTCAGAATATATTATTACTGGCAAATTGAACTAAAAATTGAATATACAAAAAGATCATTTTAGTATACACTTATCTTGCAAGAATTTTAACTACGATCAACTTACTTTTATGAAAAAATATGAATCTCGAGAACACCGACACACAGGGTTGGGATTTCGTTAGTGTCAGTTTGTACTGAATCTTGGTAGCAAAATGTAATAGAATGTAATAGATTTGAAACAATGCGCGGCAAATTTGAATTTCCCTATTATAATTTTACAAGAGGAGATTCTTTGGTTACAATGTACCTTAGAATTTTGGACTGTCCAGGAAAAATTAAGAAAAAATGAAAAACAACACAGACTCAATTCCACAATAAATAAAAACTGAGAATAAAATAGGAACTGAAAAAGCTAAATGAATTAACACAGTCTCACTAAACGTTTAGCTTCTATATGACAAGATCATCATCATGATCTCCAAAAACAGAATAAGTTTCAGAACATAACATATTTTTTACTTTCATTATTCCAGATTTTTTGGGATTTTCTTTCTTCGTTTCTATAAGATGAAAATAACCTACAGACAGTATTTATATTTCACTCGTTAATTTTTTCATACCTCGGCAAATGAAATCGGTATTATCAGATTATTATAGGCGAGTTATTATGTCTTGGTTTTTAGGTTCGGAATTGTATCTGAGTAAAAATCCTTCGTAAGATAATTGACAAAACTATTATAAGAAGAAATAAACTCAGTTACAGAACACAAAACACAAGTTTGAAAAAATTACCCCACTAACGTTGCTGTTCTTTCCTGACGTTGCCCTCAAACTTGAATCACTATATACCTCCAGTCAAAGTGTAATAGATATTGGCTGTTTTCTTCAATGTAGTAATACCATAATAACTGAGACGCGATTGTAATAGAAATATTACAATTGTAACAACAATCCCAACCCTGCCGACACACCGACAGAAAGTTCACGGTTCACAAAATTCGGCCGGGAACGGGATTATGAAATATTCGAGATTCGAGTTTTCCAGAACCTTTTAGAAGAGGACACCGCACACCTCAGAACGCTTGGAACAATTAGAACCTAAGAATCATGGATTGGCATAGGTCTATGGCATGAGTGGCTATATTCCGAAAGTCTAGATAGTTAGCCGTCATTGCCGAAATAAAAGAAATCAGTCGTGGTGCATGAATATATGAATGGCAAGACTGACACAGGACACATACTGAGTGCACAGATTGTGCACAGACACACACCGGCACATAATCACAGATAACATTTTATAGGTCGCGTGCACGATGACCGACCCTGGAGGCAAAACAATGAAATACAACCTCACTCTTCTGTGGATTATTGAAACACAACCTCACTTTTTTATTTGTTTACAGAAATCAAAAGGTTGAAATAGTTTTTCACAATATTTTGGCATATGAATCGTGTTTCTTGCGTTATTCATTAATTCAAGCATGCCTTCGCATTGTGCTGTTGTACAATGCACAAAAAATGCAGCTATGTATGTAATCTCACATAGTTATCATTATGAAATGTTGTCATTCCTTATTAAAATTCCTTCTGCCTTCTGCCACTTCTGCAATACAAGCTAATACTGCTAATAGATTGAAAATGTCTACAACACACACGATCGTCAGCATGTCAGACCAGTCCTCCCGATTGATTGCATGAATCCAATTTTCTGGCATTATTTTAGAAATTTCAGATGTATTTCTATTAGCTTCTATCGCAGAAAGAATTCCGATGAGAAATCAGAGAAATTACCAAATTTCAAAAATGAAAACTATAATTATGTGAGTGACTATAGTAGGTACTTACTTTTAAATCATATTGTACCAATCGGATTACTTTGTCTTCCGCTGCAGTTTTTGTGCATTTCACAACATCATAATGTGATGGTATGAGAGAATTGATGAACAGCGGAAAAATACGATTCGTATGCCAAAATAATTGTGAAAAACTATTTCAATCACTTGTAAGCAAATAAGTAAAGTGACGTTGTGTTTCAATATTTTGCCTCCAGTGTTGGTCATCTGACAGTTCTTGCACGCAACCCATTCCTGCACCAGTAGCCAACAGTAAACTTTTAGCACAAGCGTCTACAAACACCGGAGGCTCTCTGCATCCGATGATGTCCGATCATGGTCGGACGTCGCCGCTGATGCAGAGCACGCGCCAAATTTAAAAACATAATAATAATCCATGAGTATCAAGTGATCGAGTGTAATGTTTTGGAAAAATTATGCAAAGTATTTTTTCTTTCCGAATGATAGATGCTTATATTGCGAGAGCTAAACATTGCAAAGGCCTCACATGTTTTTTTTTTTTATATCAGGACAAAATTGACACAATAAACACAACTTATTTACTTATTAATTTTTTTTCGGTGGATACATCAGATTTATTGCGATATTATCGGCGTCCATATCATCTGGATGGATTAATTGATTACTAAATAAGTCGTTTATTATAGGAACAGCTTTCTTGATTGTTCGGTATAAACGTCTCTGTTGAGTAACTTTTTTATTTTGATGCGTTTCAGATGGTAACTTGTCGGAAAATGCCATACTGGTTTTCTCCCTCCTCATCGAGTCATCGCTATAAATGTGACTATACTATCAACGAGTTTAATAAGCTCTAGTTTGAATTCTTCTTTTTCGGAATTCTATTCATTGGTTTCTCTTTTTTCTTTACCAATTTTTAATGCTTCCAGAATCTTCTGCTGGTCAGAAAATCACAATCAAAGCTCTCGTTGATTATTGAATTTCTCTCATCTATAGGAAAGAATGAAAAGGTTGAATATAGAGGTACCTACCTATACTTAATAGTTAATGTTGAAATGTCTGCACATCTAAAAACGCCTACATGCATGAGCATCAGGGCAACAGTTTTTTATATCGAAAATGATCACACTATGTAGCCACCAAGAAAAATACCTGAAAAAAACCTATTCATTCTTTAGGCTTGCAAGTAATTCGATGTAATGTTCATGTGCTAGGTACGCACATTTTGAAAACTTGCAAATTGTGGATACTTGGGCCTGTACAGAGTACAGGCCCCAATATTCTGACATATTTTTCGACTCAGAATAGATATAATGAGCTAACAATAGTGCATACAAGGTGACCCATCAATAACTTGACATAAGGGTGTAATTGATAAAATACAGGGTGTATCTTAAATGATGACTTTAATTTCAGGTGGTGATTCCTTGTCATATTTCATGACAAAAAGTTACTATAAACGTGTGTCCTAACTTGCTCCGTTTCCGAACTTGGTGTCCAAAGTTTAATGAAAAAGTAAAAAGTAACAGAGAAGCACAGACATTGATTGCATAACGATAACGTTTTGCTATTAATTTCCAATAATATCAAACTCAGCAACAACATCAGCGTACAATAGTTACTACAGTGAATATCACACACCACTGGAAACAAAATTCAAAATCTACTTCCATGAAAAGAAGCTATTACAAATCACAAACACACGAAGTTTAATCAAAATCGGCGAACAGTATATTTTGAGTAATTCATGAAAAACCGATATTTAATTCAACTTTGGACACCCCGTTACTCGGAAACGGAGCAAATTAGGACACACGTTTAATGAACTTTTTGTCATGAAATATGACAAGGAATTACCACCTGAAATTGAACTCATCATTTAAGATACACCCTGTATAATGATAGTTCTAGCTACGACATTGTAAAATGATTGATTACAAATAGGGCACCAAGTCATTCTGGATTTCTGGTAAAGAAGAGAAGCAAACAATTCGAAAAAATACAATGCCAAAATCCATTCATACACACAATAACCACAAATAATAAGATAGTAGCTGGGTGAATGGTGAATAGTGAATATCAAACGCGCGCGAAAGGCAGCTGCGAATGATCCGAAGGTGATCGGACATCATCGGATGCGCTCGCAGATCAGGCCAGCGGCCAAAATTTCCGAAGTTACCCGAAGGACCAGTGGCGCATCAGATATTTTTTTCAGGGTGTGAACTTGGCAGACCATTGGCAGCCGAATTTCGAGTAGGTCCAGCTGGGGAAGGGTCCTCCTCCCCTGGCGTTGTTTCCCCAAAATTATCAATACTCGAGAATCCCAGATCGGAGAGGGAGAAATATACAAAAACAGATCGAAATGATGCCCCAATACACGCAATAGCAGGTGGCTTTGAATACCCTCCTACAATAAGAAATCTGCAACAGATCCCTGCATTTATGCGAAGGAATCTGTTCAGAGGCATTCCTGAGAAACATAAGTAAGAGGCTTTCAGACTATTCTATGCAAAAACTGGATTGAGAACAGATGACTATAATAAATGGGCCGACTTCAAGGTCCATAAACCACCCCAACATAGCAAGGTCAAACTCGACAACTCACAAGTCAAACGAATAGTCCTTGATACCTATAATGCGATAGAAATAGCTGCCAAACCTGAGGATATCCCCGCAGCTCACTCTGGAAGATCGCAGGTAAAACCCACCCACAAATGACGTACGAAGATCGGGCAAAATTCATCAATGAAAAGCTAGTGGACAATAATATCACCAAGGAGGCGTTAGAGCTACTAGAGGATAACAGCTTCATGTACTCGAGCACCACTGTTCAAGACTGGCTATCCTCA